AACAAAACAATCTGCATTAAGATTATCAGATTTAACATTTATGTTTTCATTCTAGAATAAAAGAGGCGTAATGTATATCTATTTCCTAATTCTTTATGGTAATTGCAAAATCGGTCAAATCTACCGAACCCGTTACAGATATTAAATACTGAAAAATAACAGATGAAATACAAAATTCTTTCTTAAGAAACATTTCATAACTATCTGGACATTATAGAGATTTCACATGTGAAATTTGAAAATTTTCTGAAAATTATCACGAAAACAAAATGTTATGAAATTAAGGAAAATGATAAATCACACAATAAAAGCTTTCTCAATGGGTTTTTCCATGAATGGAAACCCAGTGGTATATTGCTTGTAACACAAACTTATAAGAAAATCATAATAATCAGGAAAAATAATAATATTGTCACTGCATACTTGTTTGTTTGTTTTGAATTTCGCGCAAAGCTACACGAGGGCTATCTGCACTAGCCATCCCTAATTTAGCAGTGTAAGACTAGAGGGAAGGTAGCCAGTCATCATTAACTCTTGGGCTACTCTTTTACCAATGAATAGTGGGATTGACCATCACTTTTATAATGCTCCCATGGCTGAAAGGGCGAGCGTGATGGGGATTCAAATCCGCGACCCTCAGATTGCGAGTCGAGCTCCCTAACCACCTGGCCATGCCGGGCCTCACTGCAAACTAAAGCTTTCACAAAATAAATTCTTTAACACCAGAGACTCAAACAAGTAAGAAATAAAAGACGTGGATGATTAATAAAAACTTAATTCAAGAAGAATTACTTGTGTAGACTGAATAAAGTGTATTGAAAGTTCTACTTGATCCTTATCACATGAACAGATCTAGGTTAGCCTTCACCAAGTCACATATCCTGATATAATTAATATAATTTACAATACACAGTAATAATGTTATTCAATGACACAACCGTTATCTTGTTAGGTATGAGTATTCTATGTAATGTTTACAATTGTGGTTTGTGAATTTTTCAATAAAGATAAATTTCTACTCTTCAGACTTAAAGCATAGATCAAATTTCAATGATAATCAGGGAACGTTCAGAAATTCTTAACATCATAAAATTGGTTCTCTAAAAATTTCATATTTGTCAAAATCCATTTGAATCCTGTGTTGGGTATGTATCAGGTAGGGTTTGATAAATGATTGGCGCACTTGTGAATATTCACATTCATTCAAGGCTATAAAAAAACCAACAACACTCAGCTGACTGGGTTATGATTCCTGATGTGTGTCACAGCTGGTAACTGTCATACTGATAGTTTGCCAGTTTTATTGAGGATGCTTGAAAGTACTTAACCTTTATTAGGGAATGTGTGTGTTCTATTAATACTTCTATATTATCAGTGTTTTTTGTCATAATTTCCAAGTTGCATTACTGAGACATTACTACTGGAAATTGATTACACTTTTTCTCATTAAGTAATTAGCAGTCCTAGAAACATACATACCATTCATTACTCTAGAAGCCTTTAGAGCAGGCTTAGGTGGAAGATCTTTACTGTCTGAGGCTGGTATTCCAGGAAGTGGAGCTGGATGCTGAAAATCAAGATATTTTGAGTTTAAAAATAACACACACAACTAATACTGACAGTATGAAAATAAAGAAATATATCTGAAGTTTACAATTTGATGAAAAGTGGTGTACGAAGAAGGGAGAAATATGCAACCTCTACCACTAGGTGGCTCTCAACTTATATAAAGAGAGTATATTTCTGGGAAAACTTGGAACTTAAGTATTGCTCAAAAATAGTCATCACCACCCACCGCCAACTCTTGGGCTACTCTTTTATTCGAATCCCCGTCACACCAAACATGCTCGCCCTTTCAGCCGTGGGGGCGTTATAATGTGACGGTCAATCCCACTATTCGTTGGCCCGCGACCCGCAGACTGCGAGTCGAGCACCCTAGCCACCTGGCCATGCCGGGCCAAATTTAATGTGTATAAATAAGCCAGAATCTTTAAAACAAAGTTATATTTCTCAAACATATAATTTTATTTACTTCCAGGATTCTCTCACTATTAGTATTTCTTGTTTTCAACCTGTAATTTTGTCTCTCTGGTATGATATTAATGAAATCCAATACTGACACATGATTATACAAAATACTATCTCTAATTCTTAAACAAGGTTGATTTTTAATAACTGAGATCTCTCTGAAAACATTTTTTTTCTGAAAGTTTTCAATTGCTATTCTAATGGTTCATAAATACATTTAACTCTGAGAATAAAAAATCAGTTGTATCCAATGACGATCCACATCATCTTACTTTTAGGTTTTACTATGATTTTAGTATTTTCATTTCAGTACATTTGCATCTGTATAGTTTCCTAATTCGTAACTTCATCCATATTTCCAGCGTGAAATAAGAGCAAAAATTTGTTTCATTTACACTGTTATGATTAAACTAGATCCATCTATAGTATCTTGTGACCAATAATCAGGCCTAGAGGGGATATGAGAAAAGCTAGACCTTGACCACCCGTATTATATATAGCCCAGAATCCTGGCAGAGAAAGAAAAATATAAAACATAAGATACATGTTTTTTTGAGAAACAATAATAGTTCTCATTGTTATTTTTCCGGCCTATTTTTCTAAGGGTACACTAATGAGAAGGGTGTATATCATTTCGTGCATAATCCAATTAAATAAAATTAAGACATTTTGGAAGGCGTCTGTACGAAATTTGTTATTAAATGCAAAACACTTTCAAAATGACTGGTCCAACGTTTTGGTTTAAAACGATACCTAATGATATGTTTGACATAAAAAAATTGCTTTCTCGAGAATAGGTCAAAAATATTTGAAAATTATTATTCATTTCGACGCAGATCCGCCTTTGTGAGTTCTGACTCAAACTACTCATCAAATTATTTATTCGACGCAGATCCGCCTTTGTGAGTTCTGACTCAAACTACTCATCAAATTATTTATTCGACGCAGATCCGCCTTTGTGAGTTCTGACTCAAACTACTCATCAAATTATTTATTCGACGCAGATCCTCCTTTGTGAGTTCTGACTCAAACTTCTCATCAAATTATTTATTCGACGCAGATCCGCCTTTGCGAGTTCTGACTCAAACTACTCATCAAATTATTTATTCGACGCAGATCCGCCTTTGTGAGTTCTGACTCAAACTACTCATCAAATTATTTATTCGACGCAGATCCGCCTTTGTGAGTTCTGACTCAAACTACTCCTCAAATTATTTATTCGACGCAGATCCGCCTTTGTGAGTTCTGACTCAAACTACTCATCAAATTATTTATTCGACGC